GGAGGAGGAGGAACAGTAGGAAGACTGAGGACGAAGTGGAGGAAGGATACTACTCGTAGTATTACTGTCAGACAAGCACTCTTGTTTCCAAGGCTCGCGGGACGCTTCTCGTCGCCGGGGCCCGACGCGGCATCGATCGTGCCTGGTGATGCGGGCTGGTGCTCTTCCGACGAAGGATGTGCCACGGGCCCGTTCGCGCCCAGACTGCGGGGATGTCTCGAACGGTCCGTTTGCTCTACGGGGTGGAGGTGTGTGTGTGTGTGTGTGTGTCTCGGAGCCGCATGGTCCGCGCTGGCCACTTCGGTTGGCTCTCTGGGGGCTGCTCTGGGCCCCATCCGGGGCCTGCCTTGGCTGGCGGCGGGGGGGGCAGTGCGCCTGTGTCCCCGGGTGCCTGGGTCGCTCGGGACAGCTCCCCGGGCGACCCCGGCAACCCCAGCGGCGGCGCCGGGGAGGCGCCTGTGAGGGGTCTGCCCCCACAAGAGCGGGTTGCGCCCCGAGGCCCACAGAGAGCAATGCTCGGAACCTCGGACTCCGAGATCCCCGACTCGATGTGCTCTGGCTCGTTTTTCGCTCGAGGCGTCCTCACAAGTATGGATGCCAAGATGTGGTTCGCGAGGTGCTCACAGGCTCTTTATGCCTGAGACAGTCTTAGAACCCCAGGCTTCGAGATGCCCTGACTTGGGGTGCTCTGGCCCGTTTCGCTTGAGACTTCCTCACAACTCTGGGTTCCAAGACGTGGTCCGCGATGTACTCAGACACGTTTCGCCTGAGTCATCTTCGGAATCCCTGGCTCTGACCGTTTGGCCTGAGACGTCCTCGCAACTCTGGGTTGAAGATGCGGTGCACGAGGTGCTCAAGCGCATTTCGCTGTAGACATCCCCGGAAACCTGGGTCCCGTTTCACCTGAGACATCCTCATTACGTTGTTCGCCTGAGACGTCCCCCGAACTCCAGGCTTCGAGATGCTGTTTCGCTTGAGACGTCCTCGAAACCATGGGCTCCGATGTGCCTTGACTTGAGGTTCTCTGGCCCGCTGGCCTGGAGACGTCCTCGCAACTCACACCTCTGGGTTCCAAGATGCGGCTCGCGAGGTGCTCTGGCCCGTTTCGCCTGAGACATCCCCGGATTCCAAGATGTGGTTCGCGAGGTACTCAGGCCCGTGTGGCCTGAGACATCCTCCGAACCGCAGGCTACTGCGAGATGCCCTGGCTTGAGGTGCTCTGGCCCGTTTCGCTTGAGACGTTCCCACAACTCCGGGTTCCAAGACGTGGTCCGCGATGTGTTCAGGCCGGTTTCGCCTGAGACTTCCTCGGACTCCTTGGCTCCGAGATGCCTGACTTGAGGTGACCCAGGTGTAAGTGCGCCACGCTTGAAGACGACATTGACGGAGCTGTTGCTGGGGTTGCCCCTGGTGCTGGGGGAAGTTTAGAGTCAAAAGAAAATGACAGAACAAACGGGAAGTTGCCACACACACGCACACACATCAATATACATATATAGACATACATATACATATGTATATGCACCCGACTTGGGTGCATGGACAGTTGCATCTCCAGGAGCTTCAGCTTGCGCCATGTCTCGTACCCTGCTGGGAGTTATACAGGTGTCGGACGCTCGCTGCGTTTGCTGCCACTGTTTGTGGTTGCAGCGGGAAGCTGTAAAAGGTGCCCCAGGCTGTTCCAGTGAGCATCAGCCATGGAGCTTTGGTTACAGAAGTCTCGCGGTTTCGAGCCCCCGCTCCGGTGCTGTGAGCTCGCTCGCCTGGTCACGCCTCACGCGCGCGCCGCCCGCATCTCCAGCGGCACGCGCGGTTTCCGCAGGCACGCCGTGCTGTCCGACGCGCGGTGTCGCACGGCGCCCTCGGGGCGCTCCTGCAGGTAAGCCCGCCGAGCGCGAGGGGCGCCGCACGGCGCCCCCGTGAGGCCGCGTGCGTGCGTGCGGAGCACACCGTGCGCGAGGGGCGCCGCAGGGGCGCCCCCCGGGCGCAACAAGAGGCACGCGCGCGAGAGGCCAGGGCCCGCCTGCCACCGCCCACCAAGACCACCTCAGCCCCACACCGTACGGGTTCCGTGTTCCCGGCCCAGCAGCGCTGGGATGCACTGGAAGAGAAACCTGTTACGCGCCACACACACCGACCTCCAGCTCTGACCGGGCCCCGGCCCGCACGCCGCGCCCTTGCAGGGCCGTCCCCCCGTCGGGACGCACGCCAGCGCCTCGCCTCGCCTCGCCTCGCCTCGCCTCGCCTCCATTTCCAATGGATGAGGAGCACTGAAGAGGCACACGGAGCCCGTACAGTCAAAAACCCTAATAAGGACGCGCGGTAAGGACGCAAGACCCTTGGAAGCCGAAGTTGGGATTTTTGGGGCGGCGGACGACAAAAACCTCAAGGACGCAAGAGCAAGGAAGAGCAAGGGCGCAAGGGTACCCTTAGCAAAGTCGCGCGTCCTTATTAGGGTTTTTGATTGTACCCCACCGCACCCGAAACTCGGGCGGGATTCGGGTCGTCGGGTTGGGCTGGGGTGGTCTGGCAGGCAGTCGGCCTGCGTGGCCAGGCACCCGGTGCGCGAGGGGCCGCCGCGCGGCGCTCCTCTTAAGTCGGGCCTGTCCCCCTACAGGGGGATTTTCGACGAAAAATAAAAATACCCCAACAATGCGCCAAAAAGATCAAAAAATATTCCAAAAATAATCCTCAGACAATTTGCGGACTATTTTTTGATTATTTTGGGGGTATTTTTGCATTTTTTCGTCAAAAATCCCCCTGTAGGGGAACAGGCCCGACTTAACGCTCCTCCTTCTGGGCGCTCCTGCACCGAAGGGTCAAGCGCGCGCGGGGTGCCCCCCCTGGGTTCGGTGGCACATCACGGGGGCCTTGTGTACCAGCTTGTCGGCTCCTGCGAATCGACGCTGGTCGACCCCAAGTCGACGCCAAGGGCTGCTAGCCGACGCGAGATCGGCGCGATTTCATCAACTCCCAGACGCTAATCGACGCTCTTCGACGCTCATCGACGCTGAAGACAAAACCACGAGCCAAGTGCGCGCGGGGTGCCCCCCTGGGTTCGGTAGCACATCATGGGAACCTTGTATACCCTCGTAGTTCTGTCTTCAGCGTCGATGAGCGTCGACCAGCGTCTGGGAGTCGATGAAATCGCGCCGACTTGGCGTCGGCCAGCGTCGAGTGGCATCGATCTGTCGTCGACCAACGTCGATTCGCAGGAGCCGACAAGCTGGTATGGGTGGCTCCCATGAGTTGCCACCGCACCTGGGCTTAAGTCGGGCGTGCCCCTCTACAGGAGGAATATTCAAACATAGGCAAAAATAGTGGTTGAGCGATGTGTTGCGTATTTTTGAGCATTTTGTTTGTGGCTATGTTTGAGAATTTTTGTTTTTCGTCTAACATCCGCCTGTAGGAGGACATGCCCGACCTAAACCTGGGCCCTACCGCGCGGTGCCGGTGTGCCGCGCGGCGCCCCGCGTGGTACAGCGACGCAGGGCGCGAGGGCGCCCCTGTGGACGCTGCTGCACAGAGAGCGCCGTGCGCGAGGGGCACGCGCCGCGAGGAGCGCTGCGCCGCCCTCCTCGGCGGCGGGAAGCTCCGAGGCCGGCGGCGGCGACGCGAAAAAATCACGACGCGAGGTTTTCTGCCATTTTCGGCCTCCGTGGGCCCTTGCTGGGCCCCGTGTCCGTGGAGAAAGCGATTCCGAAGGAACGAATACCGGTCCTGGGGAAGGGGTCAAGACCTCTGGGGGTCGACGCTGTGAACAAAGATCACTACGTCGGGGGTCTGGGAGCGCGGTGCCCCGTGGCGCTCTCTGGGCGCTCCTGCGTCGCTGCACAGGGCACCGCCGCGCGGCGCCTCGAGGCCGTGCGCGCGGGAACCGACGCCACACGCGAGGGGCGCTCCTGCGCTGAACACCAACTGCGCGAAGGGCGCCGCACGCGAGGAGAAGGGAGAAAGGAGGATGAGGAGGGGAAGGAGGAGGAGGAGGAGGAGGAGGAGGAGGAGGAAAAGGAGGAGGCAAGCGACCAGGATTACAAGAGGCGGGTACGGACGAGGAGAACGAGGACGAGGAGAAGGAGGACAGAGGGGAAGGTGGAGCATCAGCAGCCCATTTTTGCAACAGTCTCCCCCAGCCTGAGTTGTGGTCGCCGTCGGAGGATCAGGAGGAGCGCCCCTTCTCCCCCCCCCCCCCGAGGCGGCCCATGTGCCCGCACTCAACGCGCAGCAGCTGGCGCTCGACAATTTGACGTCGCCCCCGACCGCAGCGCCAGTCACGCCAGCCCCAACCGCGGTGCCACCAACGCCGGCCCCGACCGCGGTGCCAGCAACGCGGGCCCCGACCGCGTCGCCACCAACGCCGGCCCCGACCGCGGTGCCAGCAACGCCGGCCCCGACCGCGTCGCCACCAACGCCGGCCCCGACCGCGTCGCCAGCGACACCAGTCCCGACCCCGTCGCCAGCAACGCCAGCCCCGACTGCGGCACCGACAACGCCGACCACGACCACAGCACCAAGGATTCCTGGCAAGGCCGCGGGGCTGTGCGGCGTTGGCAGGAGGGATGGAGGGAGGGAGGGAGGGAGGGAGAGGGAGGGAGGAGGAGGAAGAGGAGGAGAAGGAGAAGGGAGGAGGAAGGAGGGAGGAGGGAGGAGAAGGAGGCGGAGGTTGTGGAGGCGGAGGTTGAGAAGGAGCAGGAAGAGAACGAGCTGGTGAGGAGAGGACCAGTAGTACCAGTAGCAGTATACTCATCATCATTAGGTGTTTGATATTATCAGGTGGTTGTGGAGGTAGTAGTAGTCTAGTCGGACAGTCGTATAGTAGTACCAGTACCAGTACCATGACCAGTGTAGTAGTGGTGGTGTTGGATGTGGTAGTCGTATGGGAGGTCGCAGTAGTAATACGAAGAGTAGAGGTGGTAGCGAATGGTTGTGGTCTAGGCATTACTGCTTACTCCTTTTGTGCTCTATTTGCTGTGGCGGATTTACGGCTCAATTTCCTTTGTGTTGGATTCCCTGATGCATTATTTGCGTGGTGGAATTGTTGCTGAATTCATGTGGTGGCGGATTGACATATGAATTCCTTTTAGATGTGTTCTTGTTACAGATTCAGATTAATGCCACCAGCCCTCTGGGCGGAGGTGGTCGAGCGCATTTCTTTTCCATCTTCCCTTTTTCCTTTCGGGTTGGGGTTGTTCACAGAGCTGCCCATCCAAAGACGACCGCTGACTTTGCTGAGACGTGGGTACTACGTCTGTGCTGGGATGGCGGGTTGGAGTGCGCCAAATAGTTCGCATTTTGGCGAATCTTTCCCGCGATTCGAAGACGGCATCGGCTAGAAGGCAAACATCATTGATTCTTCGTAGATTTAGGGCCCATTTTGGCCTCCTGGGGGGGGGGCGAGGTTAATCAGGGACCCCCTTTGATCGAACTCCTCCAAGGTGGTCCCTCGATGGCCCAAGGCTCCGAACGCCCCAAGAAGCGCCCAGGAGGCCCCCAGAGGCCCCCGAAAGGCTCCCAACAGACCCCCAACCACAAGAGGCTCCCCCGAGGTATCCAAGGCGCTCCAAGTGGCCCTTGGGACCGCCAAAAGGCCCCCAAGACGCCCCAAGATGACCCCAAGAAGCTCTTAAGAGGCATCCGAAGACACTCCGAGAGGCATCCACGAGGCTTCTGGCCTTTTTAGTCGCCTTCCTCCTCCTCCTCCTCCGCCTCCCCCCCTTTCCTCATCCGCATGTTCCTCCTCCTCCCCCTCTCCCTCCCTCTCCTCCTCCGATTCCACGCCTGTAACCATTCTGGCTCAAGGTGCTTGCCAGCCACTCCATCTCGCTGCTACATTAACGACACATTTGCCGTGCACTTAATCGAGCGATGGCGCGCGTGCTGGCGGTGATGCTGATGGCGCTCGCCTTCGTGCAGTCCAGCGCCCTGGACTCGGAGGAGGATCGCCCCAAGGGCGCCCGCAGGCGGCAGATGGAGCGCATGCGCGCGGCGGAGCTCGACGCCACGATCGCCAAGTCCGGCTGCGCCGACCTCGGCGGCGAGAGGTGGTTCTCGGACGCGCACGGCCAGCTGTTCCAGGTGAAGCAGGACAAGTGCTCGATCTCCTTCCAGCTGAAGAAGAAGAGCGGCGAGACGTACGAGAAGAAGGGCGTCGTGCGCGGCACCAGGGTGCTGGTGGAGCCGCCGTTCCCCGAGGGCCAGGTGCTGTCGAACCAAACCGTCATGTGGGAGAGCGGCGCCCGCTGGGTGCGCAAGTGGTGAGTGCTTTGGCCCCGTCGCCGGGGCGCCGCGCCTCCACCCCCCCCCCGCCAGGCAGGGAGGGCTTCGATGTTCTCAGTGTGCGATTCGGTCCTCCGGTTCCTCCTCGAGCCTCCCGCTGTTGGGGACGACTGCTTCCCCAGCCCCTCTATTCCACTGCGTGCTCCTCCACATCCCTGATCAGGGCAACCTGTCTGGGCATCGCCCCTGGATGGGCTGGCGGGGTTCGACGAAGCCCCTAGAATTCGTTGCGTTGCCGAGTTGGTTTGTATTCCCTTACAAGGTGGATTCGTTTGCTCATTGCTTGTATGGCGCGATTTGGTTTTGGGTGGCCTTGGAACAGCGGTGCTTGCGAATGTCCAGCAAACCTGCGACCTTCGGCCTATCGCGTCACCGTGCCTGGGTTGTGGGTATGAAGCCTCTTGGATGTTCGTTGGGATCTCGTGGGAGGCCTCTCGGGGGCCTCTAGGAGGCCGTTTTGATGCCTCTTGGGGGCCGTTTTGGGGCCTTTAGGAGCCTCTTTTGGGCCTCTTGGGGCCTCTTGGGGCCTCCTGGGGGCCTCCTGGGGCGGACGGATACGACTTTCGATTCGTATTTCTCTCTTGGGCCCTTTTTGGGGACGTCTGGGGGCCCTCGTGGGCCGTCAGGGTGCCTCTCGGGCCGTCTTGGGGCGCTCTTGGGCCGTCTTGGGGTCCTCGTGGAAGCCCCTTGGGCCGTTTTGGGGTGGTCTTGCGGCATCTTGGGCCCCCTTCGAGCGTCGGAAAACGGAACGGCGAGAACGCCCAAATCCTGCAAACACCTAAGGCGCATCCATGGTTTGTGCCTCTTGGGGCCCTCTTGGGAGGCCTCTTGGAGGCCTCTTTGGGCGTCTTGGAGGCCGCTTGGGCCGTCTGGGGGCCATATTGGGGGTCTTGGTGCGGTCGTTGGGCGTGTCGGGCCCCACTTGAACCGTCTTAGGGGCATCTTGGGGCCCTCTTGGCCCGTCTTGGGGCCCGCACGCGGGAAGGCCCAAGCAATTTCGGACTTTGGGCTCTGGGCCCCATGAAGACTCCTCGGGGGGGAGGATTGAGGCTTAGAGGATCATTCAAAGGACCCGAGGACACGCCCACTCTGTGCTCAGAGCCGCGGTGGCGGATTTCTCTGTAGCTGTCTGGAACCACAAATGGTCCATTGCGGCATAATGCCATAGACAGCTTGCGCGAGGGCCTGACAGTCGATATCCTGGCCCGTACTATTGTTCATACTTGTTCCAGCATGCTACCACTACAAGCTAGCACATAGTACGAACTCTCATTCAAAATATAACTGTGCGATTAGCTACGTCTACTATTGCGTTATACTTGTGATTACCACACTTACAACCTCTAGTACTAACCAATGATGTTGTGTTCTACTAGACCGTCTGCTGCTACACTGAAAAACTTACGGCTGACACTTGCAGTCGTACTCGTAGTGCTATCATCACGAGTCGTATGACTGATGCTGCTACGAGTGTTGTTCTGCATGCGAGTGCCACAACTACTTCGCTAGCGCGTGCTGGTGATACGACATATTCAGCGTGAGCCTGGCACGAATAGTACCACGATTTGTCATACGATATAAGTATTCATACGGAAGCTACTACTCGTATCCCTAATGCGAGTGATGTTACTACGAATGCTAAGACCACGGCTTACACCACTATAACTACCACGAGTGCCATGTCATTGCTGCCAACGCTAAGCCCAATGCTTCTCATCATGGCAGATGCGAGAGCGAATTAACATTATTACTATCATTGTGCATGTGTATAGCCTGACCTGTACATGCACAATCAAGGCGAACTACTTACCAACATCCCGACGGTGGCCAAAGGGTGCCACTGGGGGCCAACGGGGGCCACCGTCGCCAGGCCGATTCTGGATAGGGGCCACCGGGAGCCAACGGGGGGCAATGCCGCCTGGTCGATCCTGGATTTGGCGACGCGTCTTTTCGGTTCTTAGAAGCCTTTTTACATAAACCTCCTCGACTTGCTGTTCAGGGACAGATTCAAAGCTGTTGGCCTGGTGGAACAGTTGTGGACGGAAGGGTCCTAGAGGGGGCACACCAGTCCCGACCTCTCCTGCGAAGATTTGCTTCAGCAGTCCAGAACGTTTATTTCCATGCGCAACAGAGCACCATTGTATGTGTAGAATTTTAGAAGGAATCCTTATGACAAACTGGAGCGCTTGTGGATTCCGCATACAACAATTGTTTTTTATATCGGATTTGGGAAGGAACCCTTTATGGAAAATGGAGCGCCGCTGGAAACTACGAGTCCTCCTGACTCCTCCTGCATCCCTCTAACTACGCCCATTGCGTCCAGAAGGCGCTCGCAGAATTGGCCGTCCGAGAACCAAGTGGACTGATCAAATTTACTATTATGCGATTCACACTGAGATGCGTGCGTGCGCTGCCGACCCAAGCGACGGGAGGAATGGTGAGGGAGGGGGAGGAGGAGGACGAGGAGGAGGAGGAGGAGGAGGACGAGGATGAGGAGGAGGAGGAGGAGGTGGAGGAGGAGGAGGAGGAGGAGTTGGAGGAGGAGGGAGAGGAGGAGGACCAGTGTAAACCCAAGAAACATCAGCGATGTTGGAGTAAACCCTCCCTCCAAGCTCCCTTTTCATAGGCCCCTACAACGGTTCATTTCCATTGATGGAACTGCTTCGTTGGAAGACACCCGTTTGAAGACCCTGAAGCATGTCACAACATTGTTCTCGGGCTTTCAACGCCACGGATGAGCTTGACTGTTCCGTCTGAACGATCCTGACTCGTGTCAGAACGCCATCCCCAGGACTTCAACACAAAGAACCAACGTAACTGTTGCACCCGCATGATCCTGAATCTGTCCGACACAATTGTTCGAGAGCCACACTTTGAAACGGGGCCGCCCTCCATCCGTGACTCTCTTGCATTTTTTATACGAATGTGCGCCGCGCTGAGGCGAGAGCCACATTTTGAAAACGACCCGCCCTCAATCCGTGGATTTCTTGCAAATGTTTGAAAACCAAATGTGCACCGCGCTAAGGCGAGAGCCACATTACGAATGTGCGCCGCGCTAAGGCGAGAGCCACACTTTGAAAACGACCCGCCCTCCATCTTTGAAACGGTTGTCACTTTTTAAGCTTCAGAGTCATACATGGTGAGGAAGTCACAGGCGAAACGCCCAGCCCGCCCTAAAAAACAGCCTCGGGGTGCGACAGGGATAATTTATTTACATGGAAAAGGAATGGAAGAAGGAGGGAAGAACATCGCTTTATCTTCGCCGTGGTGTGCACAAGCGCTGTGGTGCACGCGGGCACTGGTGTACACAGGCGCTGCGTTGCACATGGCTGCTGCGGTGTACACAGGCGCTGTGGTGTACACAAGCGCTGTGGTGCACGCAAGCACTGTGGTGTACACAGGCGCTGCGTTGCACACGGCTCTTGCGGTGTACAAAGGCGCTGTGGTGTTCACGCGCGCTGTGTCGCACACGAGCGCTGTGGTGTAAGCAGGTGCTGTGGTGCGGATCGCCACCTACTTGCTGCTCCTACTTGGCTTCGGTCATCCCTAGGCATTCCCGGACGCCGTCGGCTCGGAACGTGACGTCATCTGGGGGGAGGTGGTGACGGTCGTTGTCGGCCCGGGCAGTCAAACAACATGTTCTTGTCGGCGGAACCACCCTAGCTGCCGACACAACGATTACCTTGCATTTTTTTCCTCGGAGGAGGAGTCTGTGGCCACCGCGCGCCACTCGCAGTCCGCGGAGGCGGGCCTGCAGCCGCGGCGCACCCGGCCTGCTCGCCTTCGGAGGGTTCCCTGACGCCTTCGCGTCAGCCGCCTGCGTCAGTGCCGCCGCCGGTCTGGGAGCCCGTCTGGCCTTCTGGGAGGCCGCACATCTCGCCGCGGGCTTCGTGCCTCCGTCGGCCAGGGCTGCGCGCCCTGCGAGAAGCTCAGCCAGCACCGCTCCCCTGGCGCCCCCGAGGAACCCTGGCAGTAGGGCCCGGCGCTCCGCTGACGGTAGGGCCTGGCGCTCCGCTGGCGAAGGGCGCCAGCGCGGCCCATGCGTCGACCTCCCCCTCGTAGCTCGCCCCGGCGCCTTAGACGATGCAGCCGCCCATGGCTGCTCCGGGCCATTGCTCAGAGGGCCGAGCCCAGCGTCCCGGTGCCACGGGCACGCCCCCACCCATTCGTGGGGTTGCGAGGAGGCCCCAGCCCCAGCCCTCGGGGAGGTTGGGCACCGGTGCAGCCCACGTTTGCCCGCCCAGCTGCCGCCCGGCGGCATGGCTGCCTGCCCTGCTGCACGCAAACCGGCTATAGCGCCGCCCCATTGCGTGCGGCCCGCTCGCGCGCCAAGCGCTGCGTACCAGGCCGCCGGGCCCGACACCCGAGCCCACGTCGGGGCTCAATAGACGGGGGTCAATGCAAATGGGGGTCAGCCAGAGCGTCAGATCTTGCAGGATCCTGCAGAGCCAGGGGTGCATTGACTGGAGCTTGCGTGCAGGATCCCGCAGGATCCTGCAGGATCTTGCAGGATCCTGCAGTGCCTGACTGACCCTGGTCCTGATTCACCCGGGTCAGTAGATCCCGATACCTCAAGTTTCCCCCCTCCGGATGGGGCTTGGAATTTGAGCAGCCAACATGATTTTGGCCTCTGGGGTCCACATTTGGGGCTCTCTTGGGGGCCTCATGAGCCGTTTTGAGCCCATCTTGGAAAGTCTTGGGCCGTCGTGGGCCGTCTTGAGCCCTGTGGGGCCATTGTGGGCCGAGTGGCTGAAATCAGTGACTTCCCCCAAATGGTTCTACACGCTTTTATACCCAGGTAGGTGTCGTCAGCTTTGGTGTGGCGAATGTGGCGTGCCGTGAGAGGGGGTGCAGGGGGGTCACATAAACGCGTTCTCTTGCGCTGCTGTTTTCTAGAGCTCGAGGCCCCTCATTTTGTCGTGGTCTGTTGTCGTTGTCGTCGTCACCGTTCGGCGTCTTCCGCCTCATTGATCATCTCGGAACTCCCTGGCCCCAGGACCCCCATACCGGCCCCGATAGGCTCGAATCTACCCAGAGAGATCTTCAGGATGGCCCAATTTACCCTCCCTTCTCGTCACTCTCCTCTTTGTGTGCCAGAGCCCAGGCATGCGTGCCACTTGCTTCAACAAGTTATGACATATTGAGTAATGGGAAACGTGGTACAGTGGAGACCCATGCCAAGAAACACCCTGCTTGCCTCCAGGGTGCCCTGGGTTTCTTGGGTTTCGATGGTTTTGCTATAGAAAGCGTGACGTTCCCACACCAAACATCCATGGACGTCCTGGGGTCTCAGGGTTGGGTTTCTTGTGGAAGGTGTCTTGTGGTCGAACCCCTACTGTAGGCATGAACGCGCTGCCATTCAGAACGTCGTCCGCTCCGCTTCAGACGTGAACTCCTCTCGGCTCGCTGGCGCACGTCCTGAAAGTGTACAGAGGATGGACGTGGTTTGGTCTTTTCGAGGCCTTGGTGGCTGCTTTGGCGCCTCTCGAGGTTTCTGGCAGCGCTTCAGTGATTTCTTTGGGAGCGTCTCGGGCCCGCGCCTGGAGTTGTTAGGCCGTCTGGCGTCTCGGGATGCCCCTCTTGGGTAGTTTATGGGCCCTCCTGGGACGTTTTTAAGCGGTCTGGGAGACCTCTGCGGCCGTCTCGGGCTACCACCAACTCACAAGAGCGAATCTATTAAAGATCGTTAACACATCTGCAGAGTATCTTGTTTTGCTCTGGAGGACCGCTTGGGGGCTTGGATTTTAGCCCAGTCCACGGTGCGCTCCCTGGGGCTGGGAGGGGGACAAACAAATGCAGTGTTGTATTGTTTTGTCATTCGCTGAAGAGCCCCCTTCAAACCACGCCTGCCACGCTTGCGGCCACAGAGTGCGGGCTGGGGGAGATCACTGCAGGGCGATCCACCACGGTAGAAGGATGTCTAGTGGCCTTCGGCCCATCCCGCCACCCTGCCTGGGTTGTGGGTCAGAGGTCTCTTGGATGCATATTGGGATCTCTGGGGGTGCCTCTCGTGGGCCTCTCGGCGGCCTCTCGGCGGCCTCTTGGGGGTCTTGGGGGCCGCCTGGAGGCGGAGGACCGCCAGAAGAGGGCGTGGTGGTCGGCAGCCGATCCTTCGAGCTGACAGCCCGCAAGGTGGGTTGTCGGAGTTGGAACTGGTGGATGCGGTGCAGGCGGAGGCGGATGATGATGTTGATGATGTTGATGATGTTGATGCTGTTGATGCTGATGATGCTGATGATGCTGATGATGTTGATGATGATAATCATGATGATGCTGATGATGTTGACGATGCTGATGATGCTGATGTTGATGCTGATGATGATGCTGCTGATGCGGATGCGGATGCTGGTGCGGCTGCTGCTGCTGCTGCTGCTGATGATGATGATGATGATGATGATCATGATCATGATGTTGATGCTGGTGTTGATGATGCTGCTGATGATGGTTATGCCGATGCTGATGCTGATGCTGCTGCTGCTGCTGATGCGGATGCGGATGCTTATGCTGATGATGCTGCTGATGATGCTGATGATGCTCATGATGTTGATGCTGATGCGGACGATGATGATGATGATGATGATGACGACGATGATGATGATGATGATGATGATGATGATGATGATGATGATGATGATGATGATGATGATGATGATGATGATGATGATGAAGAAGAAGAAGAATAAGGATAATATGATGCTGATGATGATGATGATGCTGATGCTGATGATGCTGATGATGATGCTGATGATGATGATGATGATGACGAGGAGGAGGAGGAGGAAGAAGATGAGGAGGAGGACCAGTGTAAACCCAAGACATGTCAACGATGATGCAATACACCCTCCTTTTAAGTTCTCCGTTTATAGGTCCCTACAATAATTTGTTTTCATTGCGGGAAGTGCCCTATTCGAAAACAGCCGCTTGAGGATCCTCAACCGTTCCAAACACCATTCCTGGGACATCAATACCCAGAATTAACCTGACTGTTGCATCCTGACAATCCCTATTCGTGCCAGAACACCACTAGCACTGCGAATCAACATGATGGTTGCGTCCTGCCCGTTAAATCTAGCTACAGCACCACTTCCTTGCCTTTTGCCGTACGACTCCATGACACAGTTGCGAATTTTTAAGACGAATGTGCGCGGCGCTAAGGCGAAAGCCACAGTTTCAAGAGGAACCGCCCACCATCCATGAACTTGTTGAAAGCTTTTGAGACGAATGTGCGCGGCGCTGGTGCGAGAGGCGCATTTTGAAAACGGGTCGCTTGCCACCCTCGAAACGGTTGCAAATTCAACGCTTCACGATCAGAAGTTGTGTGTCCGCCCTACCCACACGCCTGGGGATGCGACAAGAAGAAATGATTCCCCAGTCTGCGTTTGCACTCAGGGCTTCTCGCTTCTCGTCTGAGGAGCTGTGCCCGGGTGCGGCCCCGGCGCCCCTGCTCCTGTCCGTCGCCGCACCACTTCTCCTGATAGAAGGCCTGCGTGCGGGCCGGGCGGCCCCGTTCCCGTCCGTCGCAGCCGCCCCGTTGCACCCCCACCCTCGCGTCGCAACTGCATCGCACTGCGGTCGCTTCGCATGTCATTGCTCTGCGCCTTACATGGCTTTGCTCTGCTTGACATTGCTTGGCGTTGCATTGCGCTGCATTGTTTTGCGTTGCTCTGCAAGTCCGCCGGGGCGAGTGCACCCCCACTCATGGGGGACGCGTGGACCCTCAATCGCTCATTCATCGCCGATTGGGGCCCGATAGCCGTATGCACGTAGGGTTCCACTATCGAGCGCCGATCTGTCGGCGACGTGCATCGCCGACCGATCGGCGCTGACCTCCCGGCGTCATTCCCCAATCGATCCCCCAGGCCTACCGCCCAGGTCGACGTTTGCCCCCTTCTCCCCCCCTCCTGAGCCAGTCACCCCCCCCTGACAAACCCCCTCGCCCCGCCCCTCCCTCCCCGCAGGCGCACCTGCTGGCGGGTGCCTCTGCGGGTGACACGGCCATCGACGTGGATTTCCCGGACGGCTTCGACACTGGAGACGAGATCGAGATCGCAGGCCAACTTTGTGGGGAAGGAAGGAGCGCAGAGGAGGAGCAGGAGCAGCAGGAAGAGGAGGAGGAGGAGGAGGAGGAGGAGGAGGAAGAGGAGGAGGAGGAGGAGGGGATCAGCAGCAGCAGCAGCAGCACAAAGGGAGGAAGGAGAGCCTCCGTGTGGCATTCAGGATCGAATTCTGCAGTCGCCTCACTAGAGCAAGTAGTGCCATGTGGCGTTTGCTGGCGAGCGACGTGACAGACCCAGAGTGGCAATAGCCACATGATCGTGCAGGGCGAGGAGCAGGAGGACAAGGGAGGAACAGGGACGACGAGGAAGGCAGGGGGGGCTGAATGAGGAACAGTAGTAGGAATAGTTGCATGGGTTGGATCTGCTTTCAATCGGCGGCATATTGTTTTGACGAGGAGATAATCCATGCACATTCCTTCAACTGCGGAAATGATGGTCGCCGATCCATACTCTATACGCTTGCACTGTCGCGCAGATCTGCAACCGAACTGGGTGGGAAGAGGGCTCGGGGGACCTGGGGAGGGGGCGCGGTGGATGTGGTGGTGCTGGGGGGGGGCATGGAGCCTCTCACTTCAGACTTCGCGATCGACGCCACTTTCAAACCGAAGTCCGAAAATCTGTTGGCATCGATGGGCGGGGGGGCCTCATCATTGCCTCGCACGGGGCGAAGCTACGAAACAGAAGGGTCCGACGCACACCGACCGCTGCCACCACTGTGCACTGCGTCTCCTCTCCCTGCCCCTCCTCTCCCTCCCAGTCCTCACAGTTTTTCCTGGGGATTGGGCCCCGGGTTCTCTTTGTGTTATTGGCCGGGCATTTGTCCAGAGACCAGAGGGGTGACGAGCAGGGTGAGGAGGAGTTTCGCCTGAGGCATCCTCAGAAAATGGGGATGTTGCGGGCGACAGTGAGATATGTTGAGATGCCGAGATCGGGCGTCGGACATCCAGCATGATGTCGCCATGGGGGTTTCGTCTGAGACATCCTCACAACACTGGGATGCTGGAGGAGTTGTTGGAGCGACGTTGGTTCGCAAAAGCGGGGCTCCTTTCGCCGGAGACGTCCTCGGTAGAATGAGAGGTTGGAGACCGTGCGTCGGATGTCTCCAACATGGGTAATTCGGGGGAGAGATCGTCTCGCTGAAGACATCCTCTCACGCAGTGGGGTTGTTGGAGGAATTGAGCTACGACGCTGGTTTTCAAACAGGAAGTGTCCCCCTCGGTCATCCTCAGGCAAATAGGGTCGGGCCTGTCCCACGAGGAATATGCAAAAATAGTAAAAAAATAGTCGGGGGACGATTTTTTGACTGTTTTTGAATTGTTTTGACAAGTTTTCATTCTTCGTTCAAAATCCCCCTGTAGGAGGACACGCCCGATGTAAAAATAGGGATGTTTGAGATCGGGCGTCGGACATCGAACATGGTGTGTGCGGGGGCGTCTCGCTGGAGACATCCTCGCAACATCGGGATGTTTGAGGGGCTGTTGTTCGGCATGAGCTGGTTTCGCCGGCGCTGGTTTCGTCGGCGCTGGTTTCGCCCCGCTGGTTTCTCCGACGGCTGGTTTCGCCTGCGCTGGTTTCGCCGACGCGAGCCCTAAAGGTCGGGTCGGGTCGGGTGGGCGGGATATTCACGTGTGGGGCACGCTCGACCGAGCACGCGCGAACCCTGACAGGCGGGTCGGGTCGGGCGGGCGGACCCTAGCGGGGGCAACGGGTCGAGTCGGGCGGGCGGACCCTAACGGTCGGGTCGGGTCGGGCGCGCAGAACATTCAAGTGTGGGGCGCGCTCGACCGAGCACGCGCGAGCCCTACCGTCAAGCAGTGGCGAATCGTCCTGGCTCGCCTATCGGCCTATCAAATAATGTCCTAAGAACCTTTTGTGGTCTGCACGAAATGTTCTTAGAACATTTCTGGCTGGCACTGTCTTGTTTTATCACGTGGGGCTTATGTTCTAAAAACATTGTTTTTGTTCTTAGAACATTTTCGGGTTCTAAGAACATTTCGTGGTAGGCCTATGGGAATGCCAGGACGGTCCGTCCCCGCTCAATAACGGGCGGGTCGGGTCGGGCGGGCGGACCCTACTGGGCGGGTCGGGCGGGAGGACCCTGACGGGCGGGTCGGGTCGGGCGGGCGGGACATTATAGTGTGGGGCGCGCTCGACCGAGCATGCGCGAACCTTGACGTGCGGGTCGGGTCGGGCGGGCGGACCCTACCGGGCGGGTCGGATCGGGTCGGGCGGGCGAACCTTGACGGGCGGGTCGTGTCACCTAGCGGGCGGGTCGGGTCGGGCAGTTTCGCCGACGTCAGCTGGTTTGGCCGACGGCAGCTGGTTTCGCCGACGCAGCTAATTTCGCCGACGGAGCTGGTTTCGCCGACGGAGCTGGTTTCGCCGGGCGAAACCAGCCGTGCGAAACCAGCTGTCGGCGAAACCAACGGTCGCCGTTTGTTCGATGCTGGTTCTCACAAAAATGCAGCTCTCGCCCGAGATGTCCTCAGGCGGTTGAGATGTTGGAGATCGTCAAGGTGTGGGGGTGTCTCGCCTGACACATCCTCACAACATGTGAGTTTTGGAGGACTTGTGTTACGACGTTGGTTCCCAAACATGAATATTTCGCCTGTGACACGCTCAGAAATATTAGATTTTGGAGATCGGGCATCAGGTATTGAGAATGGTGTATGGGGGCGTTTCGCCTGAGGAATCCTCACAACATGGGGATGTTAGAAGATTTGTTGGAGCGGCGTCACTTCTCAACAGTGTGGTTTTCGCTTGAGGCATCCTCAAAAAATGAGATGTTGAAGATCGTGCGTCGAATAAGCAAATTCTTGACGCTTCGTGCGGCCGCGACCAAAAAAGTGTCCCCACCAGCCCATCCAGAAACAGCGTCGAATATCCAAAATTGTGTGTGGCGGGGTGGCGTCCCACCTGCCGACGAACGACGACGACGCACACGCCCCTTTCCACGACGCAAACGCTGCCCACCTCCAAATCCCAGATGCAGAGGCTCAAGGAAAAGGTGGTCACGCGTGCCCTCCACCGCCCCTTGGGATCGTTTTCTTATTCAATGTTCTGCCGATCGGCGCGGGCCCCTCCCCCCCCATGGAGTAGATCTTGGCTGTTTTTGGCGCCTGTTTCGAGCAGGTGGGGTCTCCCCCACCGGACGCACTGTCGCAAACAGTCGCATTCAGCAGGGGTCCGGAGCCAGACTCCCCCCCCCTCCCCTCCCTTTCCGCCCAATGTTGAAACGCGGAACATGAAAACGCTCACCAAACGCACCTTCCCACAGCGCAAAAACGCCCGACACTTTGGAGTTCCAGATTCGGAGACTCAAGGCGAAGCCCGATCCCACGTGCCCTCTCCGTGGCACCGTGGCCGGCAGGCAAGGTTTCGGGTTGACCCGGAAGGGGGTCCAGCGACGAGGGGGTGGTGCAATAGATCTGTGGGGTTGCAACACACTTGGGGCGTGCAGTGCATTCCTGGGCGCAAAGGTATTGCTGGACTCTCGCGTGCAGTGCACCTTCCTTGCAATGCGATGCAGCACAAGTCTCCGGCGCAGCACACTTGCAAGACACTTGCCCCGACTCTGTTGCGCCGCCCCCTTGCGGCTGGGCCCCCGGCCTGGGTCGCCCACGGGGCTGCGGGGAGCAGCGCGTGCCACGAGCGGCGCGGCGCGTGGCCGGGCGAGCGGCGCGCGGGGCGCGGCGCGCGGCACGGCATCTTCCCGGGGCGCGCAGGCGCACGGCACGGGGCACGGGGCAGACGGCGCGGCACGTGGCACCGCGCCGCACGGCACGGCGAACGGCATGCGGCACAGCGCGAAGACAGAGAGCAGGTAGTCTCAGGTCGGGCGGGTCCCTCCCTCGACAGCAGGGAGATTCAGAAACAGTAAGAAATTCGTCTGGGGACGATGTTCCGACTATTTCTGACCACTTCATTTTTCGCCCAAAATCCGCCTGCAAGGGGGACACGCCCGATCTAAAGATAGTCCTGTGTTCTTGGTTTTACGCTGAAGCATGAGAAGATGAGGGCGAGAGCATGGGTTCCTTTTGCGTAACCCGGCCTTCGGCCCTTGACCAGGTCTGACAGGAGGTCCTTTTGACTTAAGTTCCTCACCAAGTCCGTGATGCCCCTCAAGTTCACCACTCCCTCGTCATCGAGCTTGGTCGCAGCCGAAGGAAGGGCTCAGACCGCCTTGCGCAGGGTCGTTTCTCACCCGCGTCTCCTGACGGAGACCAGCCCTGGTCGCGGCAGGCCCTTCGTGCTCTCGCGCGACAGCTGCTGCCCCCTCTTCTGCGATGGCGCCTTCGCTGGGGAGCATCGAGCGGCATCCCAAGGATCCGATGAAGGGCACGGCGCAGCAGATGAAGACCACCGCCGCCGACAGTGACAAATTCTTTACGCTTCGCGTATCCCCACCAGCCCATCTCACAGCAGCAACTCTTGCGAAGCATGCCGACAGTCGTGTTTTTCAGGCGTGTGTCCGCTTGGCCCCGCATATCTCCCCTGTTCCTCCTTCCTCCCGCCTCCTTGCACATCCTCCTTGTGGGGGGAGCGGGAGAAGGACGAGGCGGAGGAGGAGGGAGAGAAAGCGCTCCTCGTGATTTGAGTCGTTTGGGGTTTCTCGTCCTGGTGTGAGTCGTTCGGGCCCTTCTTCCTGGTGTGAGTCGTTCGGGCTCTTCGTGGTGTGAGTCGTTCGGGCTCTTCGTCCTGGTGTGAGTCGTTCGGGCTTCTCGTGGTGTGAGTTGTTCGGGCCCCTCATCCTGGTGTGAGTCGTTCGGGCCCCTCCTCCTGGTGTGACTCGTTCGGGCTCCTCGTGGTGTGAGTCGTTCGGGGCCCGCGTCGTGGTGTGAGTCGTTCGGGCTCCTCGTGGTGTGAGTCGTTCGGGCGCCTCGTCCTGGTGTGAGTCGTTCGGGCCCCTCCTCCTGGTGTAACTCGTTCGGGCTCCTCGTGGTGTGAGTCGTTCGGGGCCCGCGTCGTGGTGTGAGTCGTTCGGGCTCCTCGTGGTGTGAGTCGTTCGGGCGCCTCGTCCTGGTGTGAGTCGTTCGGGCCCCTCCTTGTGGTGTGAGTCGTTCGGGCTCTTCGTGGTGTGAGTCGTTCGGGCCCCTCGTCCTGGTGTGAGTCGTTCGGGCTCCTCGTGGGGCCTCTTGGGGGCCTCTTGGAGCCTCTTGGGGGGCCTCTTGGGGGCCTCTTGGGGCCTCTTGGGGGCCTCTGGGGGCCTCTTGGGGGCCTCTTGGGGGCCTCTTGGGGGCCTCTTGGGGCCTCTTGGGGGCCTCTTGGGGGCCTCTTGGAGGCCTCTTGGGAGCCTCCTGGGGGCCTCTTGGGGCCATCTTGGGGCCTCTTGCGACCTCCTCAGAAGCGCCAGTGAGAGCTGCCCCCTGAGAAGAACAAAATGAGCCCAACACTTTCGTAAAAGCAATGATTTTGCTATGAAGGAAGATGAGCGCGGCCCCCTCAGAACGCCAAAATGGGGCCGAAACCGTCGTAACATCAATGTTTTTGGCTTGAAAGAAGAGCAGAAGGGGGCCAAACTGGGCCCCCCCGTCGGGGCCAGAATCCTCGTGAGGGTAGTCGTGTTTTAGCATTCCAAGGAGTCAAAAAAGACCCCCCTGACGACGCTCGGCCCGCCCTCTCCAGGCCCAGGGGAGGGGGTAGGGGGAGGGGTAAACCCCTCCCCGAAGGGGAAAAAGGGGGGTTGAGAACAGAGAGAGCTCGCTAAACCACTCACGCCCAAAGGGCTGGTGGGATTGACCCCTGCAGTGGCCGAGGCCTAAGTTACCTCCAGCGAGCTCTCTCTCAATATGAACGCGGCGCAGCTGGCGACCGACGAGCGGCTCCTGGCTCTCGAGGACCAGCTCCGTGTGCTCCAGCAGGCCATGACCCAGGAGTGCGACGACGACCTCTGCGGGGACGGCCCGGGACCAGTCCGCAGTTCAAGTCGTGTCACCGAGATGATTGATGCGATCGAGAAACGTTTGGCAGGGCTGGCTGAAGCTCAGACTTCTGCTCCCGAGTCTGCCTCGACCGCGGCTTAAGCTCATCCCAGTGACAGCAGAGGTGATCGGAAGCGTCTTCGCGGCTGTAGTGTCATCAGCCCTGTCGACGGTGCTAGCGGCCCCGATCGGGCGAAGATATGGACTCGTGGCTTCCCGAGGAAACTGCTCAAGAAGAGTTTTGATGCCTATTTAGAGGAGATAAGAAACTCATGTCCTCTTCCTATCGTGATCGTTGCCAGGCGTGGACTCGCAGCGTGCAGGCGGCCTATGTGATTAACTTCGCGTCAGACCAGGATGCGTCCAACTTCTATGATCAGTTCAGGCTGTCACCCCCTTTTGCGGCATGACGCTAGATCTTGGACGGCTCATCGGGCGCCTGTCGGTCGCGGCCTACCGATCGAGGTTCGGAAACGGAGCAATGCCATGAGGAAGTGTTCGACGGCATGCAGAACGACGCTCCAGAACATGAGCTTGTGGAAACCAGAGATGAGGGTCGGGTGCGATCCCTTTCTGGGCGTGTGCTATCTCTAGCGTTACACGAGGAGCCATGCGAGCTGGTCAAGTGCGTCGACGGGTACAGGACGTTCACCTCTGAACCGCAGTTCCAGTGGCTCGCGGAGCTCGGAATCTCCGAGACGGTCGCCGAGTGGATCCCAGTTTTGGTGCACGGCCTGCTCGGTCAGTTATCGTGAAGGTCCCCTTGTTCTGCATGCCTATGTGAACCGAGTGAACGCGAATTCGACAGCTCCTCCCGCGTGCCCGACGGGCGAAGGTGAACCAAGCGGCGCTCCTGAGATTCCCGACCCTGCTGCCGCTCCTCTGGAGCGGCGCGGGCTGCCCGTCTGTCGCGCGCGGCGGAGCTCGCTTCTGGATCGGGTCACTGTGGAATCTCTAGTCTTGCAGGTCGCTTTGATTCCTCTCCGTTCCAGATTGGAACCAACGCTATGTATCTCTGGATGTTTACTGGTCCTGGTGGTCCGCGGACGATTTGCATCGGGCCATTGGCAAAGCTTTGCGAAACAACGGCGCTATTAGATTCGTGGATTGGTCCGGGACTCACACAAAACATGTATGATTACAGCGCGTTTGGCTTCCTTCTGCTCAGCTTTCCAGCTCAATTTCTGCCTGCACCTCCTGCGGTGCTCCGTGAAGAGCGTGAGGATCATCAGTTCCTCGCGGCAGGCCCGCGCTGGGCAATTCCCGCGCGCGTTCTGGCCAGCGCCGACCTGACCGGCCTCCCCGTGCAGTTCCGCTCGATGCGCTTCGAAAATTAGGCTGCCATTCGCCGAGTTTGTCTGAAGTCTGAGGCCTTCCCGTGAACGTATCATCGCTGGCGCGAGTTCCGTGATATGGAATTTGACCGCTTCGTTGTTCCCCGAAGGCTCGGCTGGGTTCAGGAGTCCATCACCTTCTTCCTGAGCTCGGTGCACGAGTGGTTCCACTACGCTCCATCGGTCCCCTCAGACAAGATCCTCAAGAGGCTGAAGTTCCTAGATTCTTGGTGCTGACCCTCAGTGTCCATTGCGCTTATGCCTAGAGTTAGGAAGATTTGGACCGATGTTCAGTTGAGGCATTCTGACCCAGTTTTCAATTATCTGCGTGTCGCCTCCAGTGTGGCCTCTTTTGTCTGTGTTTCGCTCCTGCTGTCCATTTGTAACGGATGGAGCACCTTTGCCAGTTGCCTCCAGTGCCGCGCGATGGGAGGCGACGATGTCATCCATGATCTTTCTTGTCCGCTGTTGCTTGCTCAACTTCCTTTTCTGCTCCCTGGCCGCCCCGAAGATTATTGCGCGTGGTCGCCCAAGGGGGGTGACTCTGAACTCCTCCTTCCGCGCGCGCGACCTTGGAATTTCTGCGTTCAGCTTCCTGCGAGCCCACAAGAGATGGGGAAATGAAGCTCTTGCACCCTTGCTTTCCGCGAAAGCGCGGTCCATCGCCGAGAAGAGCAAGGCGGTTCGGGCCCTTTTGAAGAGACCTGGACACTGAAGGGCGAGCGAACCAGCACCATCATCAGCAGCAGCGCTATCATTATAGCGTGCATCATCAGCGTCGCCATACCCATCATCATCCCCATCCGAATCTCCATCCTCGTCCTCATCGTCGTCGTTGTCGCCATCGTCAACATAATAATCACCATCACCATCATCGTCAGCATCAGCAGCATCAGCATCAGCATCAACATCCGCATCATTAGCATCATCAGCATCATCGTCATCGTAATCAACCGCATCATCAGCATCGTCATCGCCACCGTCATCATCATTACCCGCATCATCATCATCATCATCATCATCATCATCATCATCATCATCATCATCATCATCATCATCATCATCATCATCATCATCCCCCCTTCGTGCCTCCATTCTCCTCGTCGTCGTCGTCGTCTTCCTCCTCTTCGAACCTTACACACTATGAGTACTATTTTTTCGCCCCTGGTAACGTCTGGGAAATATCCGGCCCCCTTCCACGCAGTGGTTTTTTACATAGGAGTCCCGGGAGACAGGTTTTCGCTGTGCTTGCTTTTCTCATGGCTGTTCTCGCTGAAGCGCTGGTCTCATTTTCGGGTTACCGCTCGTTCCGAATCGTGCTCCCGCTGCACCGCTGGCCTCATTTCCGCGCATCCGCTTGTTCCGAATCGTGTTCCCGCTGCAGCGATGGCGTCATGATTTCCAGTGCCATGCCACGGCATGGTTTTCTGTCCTTCCAACTCGGCCCCCAAATCTGGAACATGCCCCCCCCGAAGCAACCATCGAAAGTGATTACACATTCGGTGCCGATTCGTTAGTTTTTTGGGGCCGCAGAAGCCCCCCCCCCACTTTGGGGCAAGGCCACGCCATGCTATGTCAGGCTACGCGGTGATCTTCAACACCATGCTATGCCATGTAATGCTATGCCCTGCTACGACATCCGACTGCGAATAAAGAGGAGGTCGACGCCAATGTAAGGGATGGGAGGGAGGGGGCAGGACGTCATATCAGACGCGAGCACCCCTAGCTTGTCCTCCCCCCTCCCTCCCTCTCTCCCTGCCTCAATGCCCGATCCGACCGACCGACCCTCCCTCCCTTCCTCCCTCTCCTCCTCCTCCTCCTCATCTTCCTTTTCCTCTTCTTCCTCCGCCTCCTCCTCCTCTTCCTCTCCTCCCGTTCCTCTTCCCTACCTGTGTGCAATTCGGCCTGCCAGGCGACGGAAACTCCGAGCGCAGGGTGATCCTCGACTTCGGCTCCGTCGTGCTCGACAGGGCGTTGGAGCACAGCTACCCGCCGAACGCCAACGTGACCAGAACCATGGACCCTGGGGGCAATGGGCGTGCCGTTGTGGATGACGATGATGATGGTGGTAATGATGATGATGCTGATGATGATGATGATGATGATGATGACGATGATGCTGATGATGAGGATGATGCTGATGATGGCGATGATGCTGATGATTATGATGATGCTGATGACCATGATGATGATGATGATGATGATGATGATGATGATGATGGTGGTGGTGATGATGATGCTGATGATGCGAATGACGATGCTGCTGCTGATGACGGTGATGATGGTGATGCTGATGATGCTAATCACGATGCTGACGCTGATGATGCTGATGATTGTCATGCTACTGATGCTGATACTGATGCTGACGACGATGCTGGTGATAGTACAGATGACGATGCCGATGGCGACGATGAAGATGACGTTGATGGCGAGGCCGGTGATGATGATGATGATGATGCTGATCATGACGACGATGCTTGTGGAAGCCGATGGTGGTGATGATGATGGTGCTGATTACGATGCTGATCGCGATGACGATCACTATTGAGCCTTCGAGGTTGACGAATATATAGATGCGCATGGATATGCGGACGGTGTTGACGATGAATACGATCATTGTGGCTCTGCTGATGACCACGCTGCTGGTGCGCGTGCTAACGATGATGAAGGCGAGTGTAACACTGCTACTGTTGCTCATGAGGATGCTGATGATGATGATGATGATGATGATACTGACGCTATGCTGTGGTGATGATGATGATGTAACTGGTGAGGATGATGAGAATGATGAACTAGCTGCTGATGCTGCTGATGATGGTGGTTCTGATGCTGATGATGCTGATGCTGATGCTGATGCTGATGATGATGATGATGATGATGAGGATGATGATGATGATGATGATGATGACGATGATGATGATGATGATGATGATGATGATGATGATGGTGATGATGATGATGGTGATGCTGATGATGATGACGATGATGATGCTGCTCATAATGATGATGATGATGATGATGATGACGGTGATGGTGATGATGGTGGTGGTGATGATGATGTCGATTATGATGATGCTGATGATGATATGCTGATGATGCTGATGATGCTGATGATGCTGTTGATGATGACGACGATGATACTGATGATGATGCTGATGATGATGATGATGATGATGATGATGATGATGATGATGATGCTGATGGCCATGAGGATGATGGTGGTGGTGGTGATGATGCTGCTGATGATAATGATGATGGTGCTGATGATGCTGATGACGAATATGTTGTGATTGTTAACGGTGATGGGGGAATTGGTGCTGAGGATGATGCGCCCGACGGAGGCGGAGTGCCTCGGTTACCACATTGGCTCAAGAGCCAAGCTCACCTGGGCTGTCTTTACGGCCACGGCTGCGGAACAGCTGGCCTGCGAACGGAGAAGGAGGAGGACAAGGGCAGGGAGGGCGAGAGGGGACGAGCAGTGGTTCCGGAGGAGAGAGGAGGGGCGAAGAGGAAGGAGAAGGAGGATGAGGGTGAGGAAGAAGAGGATGATGATGAGCAGGAGGAGGAGGAGGAGGAGGAGGAGGAGGAGGAGGAGGAAGAGGAGGAGGAGGAGGAGGGGAGGAGGAGGAGGAGAGGAGGAGGAGAGGAGAGGGTGCGAGGAGTGAGGAGGCGGGGCGGAATGGGCGGACGAGGAGGAGGGAGGAGGAGAGGAGGAGGAGGACGAGGAGGAGGGGGGAAGAGGGAGGAGGACGAGGGGCGAGGAGGAGAGGAGTGAGGAGGGAAGGGAGACGGAGGAGCGATGAGTGGGGAGCGGGGACGGTCGAAGGCAGCAGCGAGGGCCAGGGCGCGAGGGGGCGACGGGGTCTCCCCTGGGGTGCGCCCCGCCGACTGCGCGCGGGCGGGCTCGCCGCGCGCGCGCCGCGAGCGAGGCGGGGGCGAGCGAGGGGAGGGCGAGGGGAGGGCGAGGCGGGGCGAGGCGAGGAGGCGAGGCGAGGAGGCGAGGCGAGGAGGCGAGGCGAGGGGAGGCGAGGCGAGGAGGGGCGAAAATGCGAGGCGAGGAGAGGCGAGAGGGCGAGGCGCGGTGTCGCCGCTTGTCTCGAAGAGAAGGGGCACTGCACGAGCAGAGGCGTTCCTCGTAGGTCCGCGGGGGGAGTTTTCTCGGATCTGCGCCGGGGGTCCCCGCTGCCAGGGAAGCGAGCGTGCCTGACTGCTGCACGCAGCAACTCCACGACAGTGCACACCTGTAAAACGTGCGTCCTTTCTTGCTTGTATCTCTCCTCCCCGCTGCTCTTCTCTTCTCTGCCTCAACCTCCTCTTCCTCCTGCCGGATCCGGCTTGAATAAGGAGCACTTACTTTTCAAAAGGGGCTCGGTCGTTCTTTTGGTTTGCATGCGTTCCGCTACCTTTTTGGCGGCGAGCCTCCCTGGTGTTCCTTGGAAAAAAGGGGCTTCGTTCCTTATCTATCGTTCCTTAGGTCAGGCCGAATCCTGTAGGCCTCGGCCCTTGCCTGCCCTACCTCCTCCGCTGCCAGGGGGGGGAATGGAGGGCCAGCGCCCGCGCCTCGCCGCGCCGCCTGCGCGGCGAGGCGGCGGGGCCGCGCGCGGCCTCTCCGACGCCGCGGTGGGCGCGGCGTCGGCCGCGCGCGCGCCAAGCACGGAGCTCGAGCGAAGCACGAACCTCGGGAGCCTTGAGGTGGGGGTCAATGCTCGGAGGTTGGTCGACCTCCTACCCTGACGCGTCGATTAGCGAATTGGCCGTTTTCGGTCAGCGAGAGGGTTTCGCGGCCGTCATTTTTGGGGGGTCCAGGTCCGTCGGGTTCGGTCCCAGGCCGTTTTCACTAAAGGGAAGTTTGCTAAAGGGAGATTTGTCCACCGCCGAGAGACGGGGGTCAGTGCAAGCGGGTGTCAGCCAGAGCGCCGGAGCTTGCAGGATCCCGGAGGGGCAGGGTCGCATTGACCCAGGCTCGGGTGCAGGATCTTGCAGGGTCCTTCTCATTGACCCGGGCTTGGGCACAGGATCTAGCAGGATCCTGGAGGATTCTGCAAGGCCTGTTTGGCCCGGGTCTGGATTGACCCCGGTCAAAAGATCCCCGAGAATTGGGTCTGGGAGCCTCGGCAGGCTGTGATTCGGTGGCGGCTGAGGGGTGGAAGCAAGAAGAAAAAGGCCCTCTCAGAAGGCCGCGCGCGCGCGCCAGCAGGAGCTCGAGCGAAGCACGAACTGGGTCCGTGAGCCTCGGCACTTAGTGGGCCTGGAAACGACAGGGCCGTATTTTTACCGGTTCCGTTTTGCTGTGTTTCGGGTCGCCGTTTTTATACCGTCTCCATTTTCAAACACGTGTTTTCGGAAACGGTGAAAAAAAAGGCCCTGCCGTTTCTGGGGCCCATTAAGCCTCGGCAGGCTGTGATTCGGCGGCGGCGGGACTCCTCAGACGCCATTCGCGCCTTCTGAGAGGTCTTCTGTGCCTCTGGGGAAGGCTTGGAAGACTTCCCAGAAGGCTGGGTGACTTCCGAGCCTCCGGAGAATCAAGCAGTGGCGAAGCATCCTGGCGTGCCTATAGCCCTACCGAACAGATGTTCTAAGAACCCGTGGCTTCCACGACATGTTCTTTGAACATCTCTGGCTGAGACCGTCTTGTTTTAACACATCGGGAACATGCATTGAGAACATTGTTCTTGTCCTTGGAACCTCTTGGGGTTCCAGGAACATTGCGTGGTAGGCCTAAAGGACTGCCGGGACGGTCGGTCCCTGCTCAACCTTCTCGGTCCCCCCCTCGCTCGCCGCCGATCTTTGCTGCGGGCATGTGTCTTCCGTGCGCGCGGTGTGCCATGCCGTCGTGCTGTTTTTCCTCGCTGCGCGGGGCTCTCTGCGTGGTGGCGCTTCCCCTTCCGGTGGTGCGCTGTGCTTCGTCGTGCTGGGCTGCTCTGCGGCTTACGCTTCAGCGCTTCGATGGTGTCGGTTTCTCCCAGTCGACCTGTCGTCATTTGCCGCCTCTTCATCCTGCTCTGGCTTGTTGTCCTTCTTCCTCCCACCTTCCCTCCCTCCCACACATCCTGTGCCCGTGCCCCTCCTCCTCCTCCTCCTCCTCCTCCTCGTTCTCCTTCTCCTCCTTCTTTTCCTTCTCCCTCCTCCTCTTGCTTCCTCCTCCTCATCCCCCTCCTTCCTCCTGCTCCTCGTTTCGTGTTCCCTCCTTCCTCTTTTGTCTCGTTCCGCATCTCTTCCCCCTCCTGTTCCTCATCGTCTTCGTCTTCCTCTGAGATGGCGACGGCGGCGCGTCGCTGCAACTGCCCGCTCCGAGAGAACCTGCGGGAGCCACAACACTGCCGAAGCCGAAGGGGTCCTGCCAGGGCCTGAGCACGGCCCAGGAGTGCCCCAGGACGCGACCCGGCACAACAAAGGTCCCCAGGGGATTCGCAGACTGCGGCCCCGGAGGGTCGCGGGCGGCCGCCCGAGGCGCCCCCAACGGTGGCCCAGGACGCGTTGAAGGGGCCGCAGGGCGCCCTCAAGGTGGCGCCCGAGGGCGCTGGGTAGCCCCAGGGCCCCCCAAGGATAGTCTCGGATGGTCCCAGAGGCTCCTAAGAGAGCCCTAGTATCCAATAGAGATCCGACGTGGCCGACGCGACGACGACGACGACGACGACGACGACGACGACGACGACGACGACGACGACGACGACGACGACGACGACACCGTAGCCCCCGATGGAGGCACCAGCGCGAGTGGGGAGCGTCGGAGGAAGCAAGCTTCTCCCGAGGGAGACAACAAAACACGGCAACGACCTGAGTGCGTGCATGCCGCAGCGCGCACCGCGTGAAGCCGTGGTTCGTGTGGCCCGACGTGGAGAACCCCATGTGTGTTTTCCTGGCGCTTCTCGCTGTGAGCGCCTGGGCGAGACAGTCTTAGCCTGTGGCGACCGAGCGCTCCTCGGCGGCTCCCCCTTTGGAGCGCCGAAATACCATTCCTGCTACGTCGGAATGTTCGCGGGGCTCTTTGAATCAAACGAGCCACCAAATAGACCTCACAATAGTTAT